CCAGTCAACGCGTTGCGATGAAAGTTAACGCCGATCGATGTGAAACCTTAAGGTCAACGCTGGTCAATGCGTAGCTCTGAGTTAACGTCGGTCGACGTTTTGTGACGGAGATAATCTGTTGAAAGTCAACTCAATGACACGAGCCAAAACCAACTTACCAAGTTTGATTCGAAACTTCGACGACGGCCAGACGATAAACGTAACACTGGAAGAACTTCAGCTATTCATCAAAATAGATTAAAAATCGAAGAAGTCAAGAATCAAAGTCAACTACAAGTCCATTCACACTAAGTGAAGGTTAGACCAATCATATCCAAATTATTTTAGGCTCTTCTATAAAAGAAACGAGACTGAAACACTTTGGATGGGGTATCTGTAGGCGTTTAAAAATGCCTATAGGTTACCGCACGTGGATCGAGATAGAGAGAAGACGATGAACATCACTATCCGAGTCATAGAAGCTTAATTGATGTCGATGAGCACATGAAGTAAAGTCGGCGAATCATCGAAAGTAACGAAATTACATAATAACGAAGATACGAGCTGATCGGGAGCTATGCGTCGCTTTTAAAGAAAAAGCGCCCCTCGTGTCCCATCTCACCCCTATGTGATTCAACCATGGGAGCTTGTAGATATCCTCGCCGGTTTTCCTCTGTACTTTGGATCACATAATTCTGAGTTTTGATGACGAAGATACGGTAAAAACGAACAAAATGCGCAGAACAATGCTCCAGGCCTCAGTGAGACACCCATAGGTGTCTCGACTAAAGCTTGGCCGAGACACCAAGAGGTGTCTCAGCTAAAGCTTGGCCGAGACACCCATGGGTATTAGCAGCCCCGAAAACAGTTTTTTGGTAGATTTATGTTATTTTTCGATCGTTAACCGCCTAGATTTATTCCAACTGATAAAATATCATTTAAGAATGTGGTTAAGTGGGTATAACTAAAGATAAGAATGAATCGATTGTTCCTATCTGAAAACAGGTTTCTGAAGCCTATAAATACAGCCCATGACCTTCATTTTTTAAGATCTGGAATTCTTGAGCGTTGGTGAAGCCTTATTGGATTGAAGACTGATGGAGCATAAATTTCAAAAGAGAGGAGGAGATCGGATTGAGTTCGTCAACATAAAGAAGAGGAGCTCGTCAGATCTACAGTTCTCGGTTCCTTCCCTTGAGATTGCCCCGTTGCTGTGATCTTGAGAAGAGTGATTATCTCGCTGTTACCGAGATAATTGCTTCGGTTTCTTGATTCCTTCATGAATCAATAAAGCTCCGGATCTGATCTGATCGTTTGGTAGTCCACGGATATCAACATCCCTATCACAGGCTAAGATCCCACGCAACCAGCGGAGGATAAACGTCCATTGTGTTTGTTGAAAGGAAAGTTATAATTTTTGTTGAAAGTCTTATAAAAAGACTATTTCTTTTGAGTTTGTTGTAAACATTTGTAGTTATAAATGAACTCATCAATGAAATCGACTTTCTCACCAAACAAGGTGTGCCTGAGATGGTCTTCAGTCTCCTAATCCCATGGAACGAGCAGAAGTTCTCGAACTCCTGGCTGCAATACTCGCCTCCATTATAAGACTTTAGGCACTTCAGCTTATTGCCTGTTTCATTCTCCACACAAGCAAACCACTTCTTGAAGATAAAAAAAATATTTGACTTGTGTTTCAAGAAGAACACCCATCAATAAAAGTGACAAAGTAAAGAGAATTCCCAACAGATGGGACTTGCGCAGGTTCACACACGTCAGTGTGCACCAACTCCAATTTCTGCAGTTTTGGAGCCGGTCCTGTCTTGTTAAAGTTCACCTTCTTCTGTTTGCCTAGGATATAGTCCTCACAGAAAGTCGGAACGATCTTGCTCAGATCCGGAAGACTCTCTCCCGCAGCCATAATTTGTATCCCCTTCTCGCTCATGTGGCCAATTCGTCGATGTCAAGTCATGCAGTTGACGGATGATGATGATGATGTTTTTCCTGCGGCAAGCAAGTGGTCAATCTTCCTCGTTGGCGATGTAGAGAACGATCTTGCTCAGATCCGGAAGACTCTCTCCCGCAGCCATAATTTGTATCCCCTTCTCGCTCATGTGGCCAATTCGTCGATGTCAAGTCATGCAGTTGACGGATGATGATGATGATGTTTTTCCTGCGGCAAGCAAGTGGTCAATCTTCCTCGTTGGCGATGTAGAGAGACCCCTCGTGTTTGCCGTGTGCTACCACCATGGCACCCTTGGACACCTTCCAACTTCTCTGCTCGAATGATACTTTGTAACCGGAGTCAGTCAGTTGCCGGCTGATATAAGATTTCACCTGAGATCCGGTACATGTCGAACATCGTTCAACGTCAAGGTGGTCCCACCTTCCATCTTGAGGGTACAATTTTCTTTCCTGGAAACATTGCAAGGTTGATCGTCGCCAAGATAGACTGTCCCCAAGTCCTTCTTCACGAATGATGAAGGCAGCTTTTGTTGTGAGGTTGCATGGAAAGATGCGCCAGAGTCGATAACTCACGCATCGCTTTTGTCTTCAAGAGATAGGAGAAGCGCATCTGAATCTGTCTCGTGCATGAGATTGGCTGCACCATCAGCCCGATCATCCCCTGCTGATGCTGGAATAGAAACTCTACAGTCCCGTGCAAAGTTGCCCTTCTTTCCGCATCTGAAGCACTTCCCTTTACCGTAACCATTCGGGTTTGGCCCTTTAGACTTCCCTCTAGATTTTGATTGGTCTCTTCGTCCCCTACCCTTCTTCTACGCATGCCCTCGTGCCTCGACATGCAGAGCACTCCCTCTGCTAGAGGCCTCAGCTCCTGAGACTATGTGATGAGATTCTTCATCCAAAATTGCCCCAATCACCGTATCGAGCTTCATCTTGTCATTGCCATTGACGTTACTCACCGCCATCACCAAATTCTCCCACAAATCTGATAGACAAGAAAGTAGCAGAAGAGTTTGGATCTCATTGTCGAACTTGAGATCTACTACATCAAGCTGTTACACCACTGCCTGAAATTCGTTTAAGAAGTCCGCCACGGGAGCTCCTTGCTGCATCTTTAGATTGAACAACTTCTTCATCAGGTACACCTTATTTGAAGCAGATGACTTCTCATATAGCGCCTCCAAGGCTTCCATCAATTCCTTGGTGGTGGTCGTATGAGAGACGTTGTAAGTCACATGCTGGTGAAGGTTGAGCCTGATGGTGGCAAGTGTTTTACGATCGAGTATCTTCCACTTATCGTCGTCCATTTTCTCAGGTTTCTCCGTCTCTTCTTGGAGGGGTAAGAAGATATCCTTCTGGTATAAATAGTCTTCTATTTACATCCTCTAATACCTAAATTTTAACCGTCGAATTTCTCAATTCGAAGCATGTTGTTTTCAACCGTATTTGTGAATAGTAACAATACTTGTAAATAGTACCGTACTGGTGAATAGTATAGTATTCGTGAATAGTACCGTATACGTGAATAGTATTTAGTGCCTTAAAAGAGTAAATAATAATCTAACTTATTTTCTGGTGTGGAGGATCCACTTTTAGGGGCAGTTTGTTTGCCAAAAAAAAGAAGAAAACTAGCCGCCATGTCACCTTTGAGGAAATCTCTCCCATCCACATCAGCTTTTGGTTTCAACACATTTCCATTTCACATGTTTGTTTCATTTTTTTATTTAAGAAAATGGGGATGCCACCTAGGATGCCATGTCACATTTCAAGAAATGTGTTTTCACAAAAAATGCTGTGAAAACACTTGAAAATATCACATCAATGAGTTTTTAATTAATAAATGCACTATTGGAGAGTATCATGATGAATAAATTTCTTTTTTAATGGGTCATTTCTCTTTTTCTTTTTCTTCTTGTCAAACAAACTAAAGAAATGGAAATCAAAAGCACTGTTACTATGCTCTTTTTCTTTTTCTTCTTGTCAAACAAACTAAAGAAATGGAAATCAAAAGCACTGTTACTATGGAGGTTTTTTTTTGTTTTTTGTGTGACTTGGCAGTGAAAAGGGGAGGTTTCTTTGCGAAATAAACAAAATAAAAAAAAACTGGGAAACCTCTTGATATGTGTTGAAATCATTTCCAAAGAGGGTTTTCCATTTCCCTTTTTTTCATGGAAATAGCCAAACATGCCCTTAGTGGCAGCCACAGAGTATACGATAAGTAGATATATATACTCTAAGTTAGGCTCTGATACTAGTTGTTAGGGTACACACCAACAATAACGTCTCGAATGGAGATGTAATACACAGAATAAAGGCACAATATTAAACACAGTACTCACAGATATACGTGGTTCACTCCTTCGGAGCTACTCCACGATGCAACGACGACACCAAATTCTTTTATATCCCAAAAGAATAGATCAAAGAGAACACCCTCTCTTGATCAGATACACTTCAAGAACTCTCACAAACTCTCTCTGTGTGTTCTCTCTTACTCTTCTATAAGAGGAGTTGTTTCTAGGATGAGTTTTCTTTAAGAGTTTAGGGTCATATTTATAGTGTTTTGGGAAACACTATACACAAATAAAATATTATTAGTGAGACCCGCCACTAATAATAATATATGTGTGGGACCCGTATCCTTTTTCTTTTTCCAAAATTTCGGCCACTGTTTTCCTTCTTTGTCATAGAAGGTGAGCGGCAAAAAAAACGTGGGCTGCTGACACATAAAGTATACAAATTGAAAAAATCCTTGTACGGGCTGAAGCAGACGACACGATCATGGAACAAAAGAATTAATTCTTTCTTTCAAGAAAGTGAATTTCAGAAGTGCTCCTCCGAGTATGCCTTATATGTGAAAATAAACAATTTTGATAATATACTACTATTATCCATTTATGTTGATGACTTGATTTTTTACGTGCAATAATATTTCTAATGGCAACCATAGATTGTAATCTTACTTCAGTCTAATATGTCCATCTTCTTCTTCTTCTTCTTTTTTCTTCTTCTTCTTCTTCTTCTTCTTCTTTCTTCTTCTTCTTCTTCTTCTTCTTTTTTCTTCTTCTTCTTTTTTTGGTCCCGCAGACAAGAGAGATCATGCGGAGATCGAAATTGGAGACGAGGCACGTGACAGAGAGAATCACAGCTCATTTTAGTCAAGGTTTGTCCGTCGCTAATTAAATGTTAGCTGCATTCATCAATGAGAGTATGGTCAGATGACAGACACGCGTGCTGCCAACCTCAGCTCTCATTTATAAACTGAGACGGACGATGATGGACGTCGTAAAGCATATCGAGCGTCAAGAAACGACCATCCAAAAACTTCCTCCATTTTAAATATAAGATTTCAAAGCTCAAAGAAAACCCACATTCTCGTATTGAGTAAAGATCAAACAGACAAGAACAGAGGAGAAATCTCCTCAGTATGAGCTCCCTGCATGGTTTCCAAGGTACCCACTTTGTTGTTGTTTTTTCTCCCCCTTCCTTCTATTTTTCTCGTGAAATTTCTTACTTGGGTTTTCAGTACTGCTGCAGGTTGGTTGAATTGGGTTTGTGAGGGAGAGATCGGTTCTGGATCTTTATGCACTCAGAGAAGCCTGCTTGATGTTTTGAATGTCGGGTTTGTTCTTGTTTTCTGTTCGGGTTCGGTTATATCATCCTTTAGAGGACAAAACGCTAGTAGTGGAACAAGAACTAGGGATTGGGACTGTGTCATTGTTTCGCTCCTTTGTGCAGCGACTGGTGCAGCGCATTTTGGTGTTGGATTTTGGGCCCTTTTTAGTCGCGGAAGCAGCGGCTATGAAAACGGAGATTGGTTGATTTGCTCCGTTAGGGGCCTGATATGGGTTCTTTTGATGGTTTCTTTGATCGTTGCGCCACCAAAATGGATAAGAGTTGTGATTTTGTTATGGTGGATCTTGTTTGCTCTCTTCACCTCTGCGTTTTACGTCGAAATGCTCGTAAGAGGTGATGTTCTTCAAACTTTGGACATGGTTTCATGGCCTGTAAGTTTGTTGCTTCTCTTCCACGCCATAAAACTTGCTTGCAAAACCAGGTTCAATGGAGATTGTTCGGGTGATAGTTTATCCGAGCCCCTACTGATCGAAGAAAAAGATAGGGCAGCAAAACTGGAGGAAGCTAGTGTAATTAGTCGCTTGACGTTTTCTTGGTTAAATCCCTTGTTGAGGTTAGGTTCGTCCAGACCTTTAGTACTTGATGATATTCCTCGTCTAGATTCTGAAGACGAGGCGAATAAAGCCTACGAAACGTTCTTGAGAGAGTGGGATACTGCAAAAAAGGGCAAAGATAAGAGTAGTAACTTGGTCCTCTTAGCTTTAGCTAAATGTTATAAAAAGGAAATGCTGTTGGTTGGGCTCTATGCGTTTCTCAAGACAATATCGGTTTCATCTTCTCCTGTGTTGCTCTACGCATTTGTTTCGTATTCTAGCCTCGAGGAGAGAGATTTGAATAAAGGGCTAATTTTGGTTGGTTGTTTGTTGGTAACCAAGGTTGTAGAGTCTTTATCTCAAAGGCATTGGTTCTTTGATTCAAGAAGATACGGGATGAGGATGCGATCGGCTCTAATGGCTGCTGTCTATCACAAACAGTTGAAGCTTTCAAGTGTCGGGAGAAGAAAACATTCAACAGGAGAGGTTGTAAATTATATTGCAGTTGATGCTTATAGGCTCGGAGATTTTCTTTGGTGGTTTCATATGGCTTGGAGTCTACCCCTCCAACTTCTATTTGCGGTACTTATACTCTTTGGCACTGTAGGATTAGGCGCGATCCCGGGTTTAGTTCCTCTAATTGTGTGTGGGATCTTAAACGTCCCCATTGCCAAACTCCTTAAGAACTATCAATCAGAGTTTATGGTCGCTCAAGATGGAAGGCTAAGAGCTACATCTGAAGCTTTGAACAATATGAAAATCATCAAGCTACAATCATGGGAAGATAAGTTCAGGAGCACAATAGAGTCGCTCAGAAATGTCGAATTCAGATGGTTGAAAGACACCCAAATACTCAAAGCTTATGGAACCGGGTTGTACTGGATGTCGCCGACGGTCGTTTCTGCAGTAATTTTTGCTGGCACTGCAGTTATGCAGAGTGCTCCTTTAAACGCTACATCAATCTTTACAGTTCTAGCAACCTTGAGAATAATGTCAGAGCCGGTAAGAACTTTGCCAGAGGTCTTAACGGTGATGATCCAGGTCAAGGTATCATTAGACCGTATCGGTGTCTTCTTGCAAGAAGATGAGATCAAAGAAGAGGATGTGAAGAGATATCCCCTGAATAATGTGGATTTAAGTGTCGAAGTGCAAAATGGAAATTTTAGTTGGGATCCCGATGTAACGGTTCCGACGTTGAGGAGCGTAAGCTTGAGGATAAGAAGAGGTGAGAAGGTTGCAATTTGTGGACCGGTTGGTGCTGGCAAGTCTTCGCTCTTATATGCCATGCTCGGAGAGATTCCTAAAATCTCAGGATCTGTGAGTAGCTAAACTTTTTAGAATGAAATGACGACCTCCCCTTAAAGTCCAACTTCGCTCCTGAGCTATCTATATGTCATACTTTGCGTATGTCTTAGTGTTGCCATATATCTTATGAACCCACAATCAAATATTTAACAAATTGATGAGTTGGCTGTGTTTTTTTTCCCCCATTTATTCCTAGGGTTTTCTCAATTTGTCTCATTGGCCTCCAACCCAAAAACTTCCCCAACTACGTTACCGCAGAACTTTTTACCCTTTATCCCCTTTTGGAATTGTAGAAAATAGAGGGGGAAAGAGAAGCACTATCCTTTCATTGATCTTGTAAAGAACAATTTTTCAAAACAGCCCCATTTAGAGTTTTTTTTTCAAAATCGACCGGTTTTTTATTTATTTATCAAAACCGCCCCGATTTTGTGATTAACCGGCTAATCATTTAGTGTTTAAGGCCTCTAATTAGGGTTTAATACCCTCCTAAATAGTCGGGGTTGGCAACCCCGACTATTTAGGATGGTGATTAGGCTGCTAATCACAAAATCGGGTCGGTTTTGATAAATAAAAAAAAACCGGTCGATTTTGAAAAATAAAACTCTAAAAGGGTCTGTTTTGAAAAATTGTTCTCTTGTAAATGCTTGACCATGGGCTCACAAACAAAATGTCCACTTTGGACCCTTACAAATTGGTTTAAGTGGATAATAGGTAAATTGATACTTGGTGGGGGAAGCTGGGAGCTCAGCGTTACTTTTAAGAAAAAATTGGTTATTTCAGGTTGGAGGGTTAAGAACATTAACATATATCCCTGATTGCGTGTAGGTTGATGTGTTTGGCTCCACAGCCTATGTTTCACAAACATCTTGGATACAAAGCGGGACTATACGAGGTAATATACTTTATGGGAAACCAATGAATAAGGAGAACTATGAGAAGGCCATTCGATGTTGTGCTCTTGATAAGGACATCGAGAGCTTTGATCATGGAGACCTCACAGAGATAGGTCAGAGAGGTCTAAATATGAGTGGGGGCCAAAAGCAGCGGATTCAGCTAGCACGAGCAGTATACAATGATGCTGATACTTACATTCTTGATGACCCTTTTAGTGCTGTAGATGCACATACCGCAGCAACTCTCTTCCATGTAAGGAAGTTATCTTTTTGATTACATGTAAATATTCTCTGCTAGGATTATAGGTTCATGGCCGCAGCAACTCTCTTCCATGTAAGGAAGTTATCTTTTTGATTACATGTAAATATTCTCTGCTAGGATTATAGGTTCATGGCCGCAGCAACTCTCTTCCATGTAAGGAAGTTATCTTTTTGATTACATGTAAATATTCTCTGCTAGGTTTATAGGTTCATGGAGTTTAAAGATAGAAGGCACCGTTAAGAAATTTGTATGCTTTTAATAATTATGCTATGATAACTTACGAAATATTATTACTAGTCAAACTTATGTAGGCATTTTGTTGTTTAACAATTATGGCACCTTAGAGCATCTATGTGCTTTCACGATTCTCAGCAACATATGTATTCTTAAAATTTTGCAATAAAATTATTGGTTTTCCTTCACCGCAACAAGAAATTTATCAAGTTGTTATTGTTAGGGTATAAAACTATAACCCTCAACCCTCGCCATAACTTTAGAATTTTGAATTTTGGTGCACTAGCAAGGACGGTTGACAGTTACTGTCCCATTGATGCACGAGAATAATAATGTTGAACATCTTCACAGCCAAACACAAGCTTAGCATTTATTTACCATAGAAAATCTGAAGTTCACACTTCGTAGTCTACTAATTAATCTGAAGGCAAAGTTTAGTTGATTTGATATTAAATACATTTTGGTTTTTTGTTTTCTCTTTTGATTGACAGGATTGTGTGATGACCGCTTTAGGAAAGAAGACAGTCATTCTGGTCACTCATCAAGTAGAATTTCTTGCTGAAACTGATAGAATTCTGGTGAGTAGGTTTCAAGTAGAATTTTAATTACTTTTTACTCTTGGTGATGTTCTGACACATGTGCCCCTGGGTGAATTTAGTGAATCTATCTGAGGGTAAAAAGTGATTTAAAAAAAACCAGGGCGTCTACCTGTAACAATGAAACTACAGGGGGTTTATGTGCAATTAGCCCCATATCTTAAGACTGTTCTTATTTGTTACAGGTTATGGAGAGTGGGCAAATCACACAAAATGGAACATATAACGAGCTTTTCAAGGCTGGAACAGCATTTGAGCAACTTGTCAGTGCTCATGAATCATCAATGACCATGTTGGATTCTTTGAATCAACAGAAGGAAGACCAGACACAGGGAAATGTTGTTTTTGTTAATAATAAAGGGATTAGTCTATTACCCACTAAACAAGATAGTGAAGGAGAGATTTCAATTAGAAAGCAGTCGATAGTCCAGCTCACAGAAGAAGAAGAGAAGGAGATTGGGAACGTTGGATTAAAACCATATAGAGATTATTTTCATGTATCGAAGGGTTATTTTTTACTTGTTTTGGTTATCATCACTCAGTCTGCTTTTGTCATTCTTCAGACAATGTCAACATATTGGTTAGCTGTAGCTGTTCAGATGTTTCATATTGGTAATGGCATTTTGGTTGGAGTCTATGCGGCAATTTCATTTCTTAGCTGCTGTTGTGCTTTGCTTAGAAGTTGGATATCAGCGCATCTGGGATTGAAGGCCTCAAAGCAATTCTTTTCTGGTTTCATGGATTCGGTGTTTAAGGCTCCGATGTCCTTTTTTGACTCAACTCCTGTTGGAAGGATCTTAACCCGGGTAAATGTTTTCTATTTTGATATGAAACTTTGATCAGTTTAAAATTATTAATGTAGTTGGCGTAAAGCAGTATGGATTTTATTTATTTATTTATTGTTATGCAGGCTTCTTCAGATATGAGTATTTTAGACTTTGACATACCATACTCCATTGCCTTTGTGATTGCACCTGCTATTGAAATGATAGCAATTATAATGGTAATGGCTGCAGTGACATGGCAGGTTCTTGTTGTAGCAATTCCAGTTCTGATTATAATGGTGTATTTTCAGGTGAGTGACTACTCTTTTCCTACCCTTTTCTGAATTAATTTTAAGGTAATTTCTCCCACAAAAAAAAAACCCTGAGCTTTGGAGTGATTTTGCACAAAACCCTCATGAACTTAAAGTCATGGTACTTAAGCAAGACGAGTTTAGGGTATTGCTATGATTTTGCAAGTTCACAGACTTTAGTACAAAACACCTCAAAGTTCACAGGTGTTTGTGAAATTTCTTCTGATGCATGATTTTAGCACAATGGCTAACCATGTGTTCTTTGAATCTTGAAGAACTATTATCTAGCATCGGCAAGGGAGCTGGTAAGAATAAATGGAACAACAAAGGCACCAGTTATGAATTATGCTGCGGAGTCAATGCTTGGTGCGGTAACCATAAGGGCTTTTGCAATGATGGACAGATTTTTTAGTACCAATCTAAAGCTCATCGACATGGATGCAACATTATTTTTTCATACAATTGCTGCCTTGGAGTGGATTCTTATAAGAGTAGAGACGCTTCAAAATTTGACATTGGTTACTTCAACTCTCTTTCTTGTTTTGATTCCTCAAAGATACATTTCACCAGGTAATGTAGTCTAATTTGGTCGCAGATACATTCTCTTCCATTTTCTCGAAGTATTGGGTGGCTAACTTCTTTTTGGTGCGTTTCAGGATTTGCTGGTCTCAGTCTTTCCTATTCTCTTACTCTTTCTTCCACCCAAGTGTTTTTCACTAGGTGGTACTCGAACTTAGAGAATTTCATCATTTCTGTTGAGAGAATCAAACAGTTTATGCATATTCCATCAGAGCCTCCTGCAGTCATTGATAAGAACAGGCCACCGCCTTCATGGCCTCATGAAGGCAAAGTAGATTTAATCGATCTAAAAGTGAGAATAAAGATATACTTTACTGAGTAAATCTAGAATAAACATAACTAGAGACTTTAGGGCTTTGTCCACTGACTTCTTTAATGGATTTGCTTTGAGATTTGTGTTTGTGTGTGATAAACATCAATGTTATCTTTGATATGCATGTCTTGATGTGTATCGCAAATCATCATGAATTTGGTGGACAATAGCCCTCAATCCACTTAAGTTTCTTCTACTTTTCTCCTACTATTTGGATCTGTTGACTAAATTTGTGTATTGTTTTCCAATTGAAAATTGTCTATTGATTGTTCAGGTGAAATATCGTTCAAATACTCCCTTGGTTCTAAAAGGGATTACATGCACTTTTGCACCAGGAAACAAGATTGGAGTTGTAGGAAGGACCGGAAGTGGGAAGACCACCCTAATAAGCTCTCTATTTCGTCTTGTAGACCCTTCAGATGGAAGAATCCTTGTTGATGAGCTTGATATATGTTCCATAGGTCTAAAGGACCTCAGGTTGAAACTAAGTATTATTCCTCAAGAACCAACTCTTTTTCGAGGCAGTGTAAGGAGTAACTTGGACCCTCTCGGGCTTTACACCGACCATGAGATATGGGAGGTCAGACAAATTGTTCTTACCTGCAAATTTTTTAAGTTTTAGATGTTCAAATATGCGCATCAATATTTTCATAATTAATAACAATATAAGGAACACCTTAATGATGATACTTCATAAGTACAAGCCATGTTGCCTTGTATCGTCATTCAGTTTTTCCTTTTCTTCTCCATTTTTACTTTGTTTTATTTTATTTTATATTTTTTTTGCATTTTGTACGTCAGACCTGGTAAAGGATTACGAATTATAAAATTTTAAATAACCTTTTGGTGCAAACAGGCCAGACATTACACCTACAATATTTGCATCCGCTTATTAATCGTGGTCACAAATATAGTTACGAATATGTTTCAGAACGGAAATTCATATACATATCTGCTAAAATTGACTGCAATATATATGGATAGGAAACACATATAAGTAAACTTGATAAGATTGAAAAATATAGGTTATGTGATACCAGAAATGTTTAAATATAATCAATTTCTTTAATGAGAGATCCTTTATACATGCAGAATCTCTAAAAAACTAAGATTAGATATTTGTGTCATCAAAATTGACCTCAAATCTATTAAGGTAATAGTCAAAACAATTTCAAATGTATGATTGATTTTATATTCGGATATGGATACAAATATTTTACTTGCATATCCATATTCTATGGGATACTGATACTAGTATCTCTATCCTATTAGATACTGATACAGATATATCTGCGGATGTCTGTACCTGTTTCTTACTTTCAACGCAAAGGTGGATATTACTGAGTATCATTAGTCGATTATTACTTCCTTCACTTGCCTGTTCACTGTGATCTAACTTGGATTTAGATGTAGCCTATGTTGCACTGCTACTTCAAAATAGGCGATTCATCCGAATCCAATATGTATCTGATACTTGGATACGCAGATACTTAATGGATACTGATTAGGTGCTCTAAACATACCAAAAATATATAAGAGATATGTCCGAGAATATGTAGTTAAAAATCTAATACAGTATCATTTGCTTTGTAGATTTCCATTTTCCTAATCAAGAATTTATCTTAGGCACTATGATTTCTCTATTAACCAGTGATCTGTATGACCTGAAGATCTTTTATATTGCTCGAGGTTTTTTCTTTTCTACTATTACAGTCTTGCAAATCTATGTTATAGATAAATGCGAGTTTGTACTCAATACAAGTTTATATAATGCATATTTGACAGGCATTAGACAAGTGCCAGTTGAAGGAAACCATTAGCAGTCTTCCCGCTCTTCTTGATTCAACTGGTGAGTAAAGTCCTTAAGCTATCAACCGTATGAATTCTCTGTCATTTAAGGTGCACAACTAAGGTTGATCCACTTTTTGTTTGTTACACCTTGAAGTTAGCGATGATGGAGAGAACTGGAGTGCTGGACAAAGGCAGCTCTTCTGCCTTGGCCGTGTTCTCCTACGAAAGAACAAAATTCTTGTTCTCGACGAAGCAACTGCCTCCATTGATTCTGCAACTGATGCCATCCTTCAGAGTATTATCAGGAAGGAGTTCTCTAATTGCACCGTCATAACCATAGCTCATAGAGTTCCGACGGTTTTGGATAGTGACATGGTCTTGGTACTTTCTTATGGTAGGTACTCTGATTCTGATTTTTATTGTATTTTATTAATTCACCTATTTGTTAGTAAATGTTTATGCCACATAACAAGATAAAAGTATCGGGAAAGCCCATCGATTGTATAGTATGCTGAAGAAGCGGCAATTCTAGAGCATTTACTAACTGAGGAATACAGATAACAAAAAATTTCTTGACCGGCAAAATTAAAAAGATGAGGAAGAAAGGTTTCATAGGTATTTTGTTTTTATGGAAAAACAAAATGGGAATATCAGACAGTTCTTGCAAATTATCAGTTGGGAGTTACCTTAAGTTTGCTTTGATGGAAGTCATGACATTTAGGGACTTGCTCCATGTTAAATCTGTGCTGAATTACAACATAGGTAAAATGTTAACCTAAACCTGCAGACTCTAGTGTAATCCACAGTATCACCTCAACCTTTTTTGGTAAAATTAGGTAAGAAGGGTTAATTTCACAGCCCTCCCCATACGCATAATTAAAAAGAAAGGAAAACAAAAAACTTGGGGTTTTTGCACATATTCCCACTGCCCTTTATTTATTCCACTTAACAATCCCCCTCCAATAAATAAATAAATTAACACCATGAACTTTGACGCCTCGTGTGCCAGAGAATGAAGAAAATTCCCCTTAGTTTTTTCTGAAGGGCTTTTGTGATCGGGAGTGAAATTTCAAGGATATTTTTCGAGAAGGCATTTTTATCATTTCATAATTAATGGGTAACAGCGTCATAACTTCTAAAGTTCAGGATGGTTAAGTGAAATTAACCCTTAAAATAATTTGCGTGAGATTATCCATCTTATAACAACCTTCTTCTATCGGCCATTGATTTGTTTCTCAGCTATGCTGATATTAACCTATTGATTTAGGAGTTTTCCAGCGACAGTGATACATAACTCGGGGAGGGTATTACTCTCACGTTTATGCCTGATATTACCCATTCCGACGTATTACTTGACCGAGGATCAGTTGCCTTCATCACTAATAAGACGTGATGAGGATTTAGAGGATTGAGCTGCCCCAAGTTAACATACAGCTCTTCTGTTATTTTTTTTACCAGCTCCCAGGTTTATGTACTACATCCAGTTCCTCAATATGCTGGCTCATGCATCCGTAACTTTTTATGGTGTAGAGATACCGGGACATGAAATAATCTATTGAATCAAAAACAGAAGCAGTGGAGACTGATTAGTGCTTAGATAATCTTGTTCCTTACTCAATGACCTACTAAATTAAACATGTATTAATACACATGCATGAAGCTTCAGTTGTTCTTATGTATTGGGATAAATCACCTTTGAAAGAGGCTTTACTTTTTGTCCTTACGCAGGGAAACTCGTGGAATATGACAACCCTTCAAAACTGATGGAAACCAAAGATTCCGCCTTCGCCAAGCTCGTGGTAGAGTACTGGTCAAACTGTAGGAGGAATTCTACTAATAATCTTTCAGCAATGTAAAAGATTACAGGAAAGTGTGGTTTTTATGCGTGTTATAAGAAAATATCGGATATCCTGTTTCTGCAAAAATAAAATTCTAACGGTACATCAGTGAAGAGTTGTGGAGATGTTGCTATGCCCAATATGGAAAATGTTCATCCGCGCCAAACACAAAAAATCTATACAAAGGATTAAGTGAGGGGTTAAGGAAGCTTAACCCTTCTTAACCCGCCAAACACAAAAAATCTATACAAGGGTTAAAGTGAGTTAACCCTTCATAATTTGCCAAACATAAAAAATATAGAAGGGCTAAGCTAACCCCTCTAGAGGGATTAAAATGAGTTAACCCCTCAGAATGAGGGGTTTACTAATACCCCTATTTAGAAGGAATAAGAGTTAACATTTCTAATTATAAAGAAAATAGTCAAAACTATTGTTATTCCCAAACACTAAAACTAATCACAATGGTTAAAATAAAACTTATTTAACGGGTTAATAATTTAGTCCTTCAGATTATCGAATAGGTTAAGTACATTAATCATTTTCTTTAACCCTTCTTCCTTAACCCTTTGCCAAACGGGGCCTTTGAGTTCTGCTGTTTGGTTTGGATGTCATTGTATTTATGACATATTTTCACTTTCCACCAACATTTTCATGGTCTTCAAAGAGACAACCAAATGTAGGAAAGTTGAGAAAGTTAAATGTGAACCCCACAATTTAACAAATTTCTTACTTTTCCCTTCAAAACACGTGCAACCAAACATGCACTAATGTGGAAAAAGGAAGATGTAACTATCCCCTTTGAGTGATACGAGCCGCCGTGTGAGCACCTTTGATCGCGGAATTATCAAAGGTGTGTTTGAGAAGAAAACAGTAAAACACACTAGACAATTCAATTGGCGAAGGAAAATACCTTCTCTAGATTATGAAGAATAGAAGATTACAAAATCTCTCTCTCACAATCTCTCTAGAATAAAGAACAATCTCTCTAAACCCTAATATCTTGATTAGAATCTTTTTTCTATCAATCTGATCTTTAGAAACCCTAAACAATCCCTATTTGTAGGTTAAACAACATGGGTGGCAAAGTGGTAAATGCCCAAGTCAAACCCAACTAGAATTTGTCTCAAAACAGAATCCAAATTGGCAACAAAAAACCCCGTCGGTCGACCGACATGCCTGGTTTGGTCAACCGACCAGAAACAGGTTTTCGGACCCTGTAAGGTATCCGTTTTCGGTCGACCGGCAATGAGCGATCGATCGACTGGTTTTGCTTCCGTGGTCGACCGATGTCATCCCTTCGGTCGACCGGTCAGGGCTTGATTCTCCAGCTTCTTGATTTCCTCTATTTTTCTGCTTTTGATCGTTTTTTCCGCCACCAACAGTTCTGCCCACGCTTCTATCCTCAAACTACCATGAGAATCATCTATCCTCAAGCGCCCATGAGAATCGCTAAGTTTCCGAAGTAAGGAAGAAGATACACTCGTATCATGGCTCCCCCCTTTAGGAACTTAAAGTCATGTTCTAGTTAGAACTTCACCTGAGGAAACTCTTGAGCTCCTCCTTTCTTGTTGAACCACCAGGCTTTGCTAGGAACCTGACCTTGACGTCCAATCAGAAACGACTCCTTAGTCCCCAGTCTCGTCGTAGTCACATTTCTCTCCAAATTGCAAACCTCTTTTAGTGACTCTTCATAAGGCCTAATGAACAGCAAGGCAAACTTCTTGTTTGCATTCACTAGCCTCTTCGCTTGGTTCACCGTCACCAAGTTTGTCTCTTTCGGAAGAGATGCTGAACGAAATATGAACTTCTCATCGTCTTTGGTGAATATGTACTTCTAAGCCAACCTTTCATAGATTGTGTATCTATCCCACAAGTACGGATTATCCAGTATAACTTCACAAACATCCAATGGAACTACATCGCATGACCTCGTCAATATACGACTCGTTGAGTGCAAATCTGAAAGTGTATTGATTAACTACACTCAGTCCCGTTTTCTTCTGAATCCACCCTAATGGATAGGGCTTTGGATGCTTGACCGTCTTCAAACCCAGCTTCTAAACTAAGGCCTCGGATATCAAATTCTTTTTGCTACCTAGATCAACTATGGTAACTACCAAATTGGTCTTTATTTGCAACTTAAGAATAAAGAGCTGCTCTCTGGGGTCTTCGTCCTCCTTCGTGACCTGCTTCCCTGCCATATGGTTGAGACTGTTGTTGGGCTCTGTCATCCCTGTGACTTCTTACGGAACTTGTTCTATCACGTATGCCTTTTTCTCCTCCCTCTTCTTCAACCCCTTCAGTTTCAAATAAAGATACTTCTCCCAACATCGATCAGCAACACATCCTGTCTTTTCGCAATGACTACAAATCAGTCATGTTTTTCCTAGATCATCCTTCTTTTTTTCCTCCTTAGTTTGGGAACCATTAGACTCACCTCCAGCTTGCTTGACTTCTCCCTTCGTCTCGTTGCCTTTCTTCTATTTTCCCTCAATAACAATAGCTTTCACGCTCGCTTCTGCAATCGACTCAACCGTGAATAGATTTATCTTCTTCTGGATGTATTCGTTCAAACCCGCCATATACTTTATGAAAACAGAGTACTCCTCTGTCGTAATGTTGAGGACCATTGTCTACTGCTGAAACTCTGTAGTGTATTCTTAAACGGTTTGATTGAATTTTTAGCGTAAACCGTACCACTTATACCAACGCTCTTCAAGGAATCCCACCGAGTAGAACTGCTTCCTTAACAACTCCTTGAACTTGTTCCACGATACCTCTTTCTTTTCCTGCTTGCAATAGGATTTTCCACCACGTCAATGCGTACCCTGAAAGCTTCAATGTCGTAAAAACGATCTTCTCTTTTGATGAATAGCCATAAAGAGTAAAATAAGTCTCCATACGCTCGATCCAATCATCAAGCCTTTCGACATTAACGCTTTCATCATAAACATAAATCTCTACTCTGAAATCAATCTTCAGATTTTGGTAAGGACCCTTACCCCCTTGATGTGGAACAACTTTGACCGCCTCGACCTCCTCATCGGAATATGAATTTTCACTCTCCCCACCGGACTCTACAGGTTTCTTCTTTGACTTCGAAGAAGATTCCCCCTTTTTGTTCTCTCCATGGTTGAGATTGACGAGTTGTGTGAGAGTCGACCCGATTGTTTCGATCTCTTTCTCCAATGCATCAAGCCTCACTGAGTTGTCGTTATCCGTCATCTTCTTCTTCCTTGATTTCTGGACCTCTTCCAAAGAAATAAGTATCTTGCCTGGCTTCTTATATTGCGATCGAGTAAGGACCATGCACAGGACACCCCCTTCACAGGATCTGAAGGCTCTAATACCAACTTGATACGAGTTATCATGCGAGCACCTTTGATCGTGCAATTATTAAAGGTGGGTTTGAGAAGAAAACAACAAAACACACAAGATAATTCAATTGGCGAAGGAAAATACATTTTCTAGATTATGAAGAATAGAAGATTACAAAATCTCTCTCACACAATCTCTCCAGAATAAAGAACAATCTATTTATTCTCTCTAAACCCTAATATATTGATTAAAATCTCTCTTCTATCAATCTGATCTTTAGAAATGCTAAACAATCCCTATTTATAGGTTAAACAACGTGGGTAGCAAAGTGGTAAATACCCAAATCAAACCAACTAGAATTCATCTCAAAACAGAATCCCAATTGGCCTAAGAAAACCTCGTCGGTCGACTGACATGCCTAGTTCGGTCGACCGACCAGAAACAAGTTTTCGAACCCTGTAAGGTATCTGTTTTTGGTCGACCGACGATCAGCGATTGGTCGACCGATTTTGCATCCGCGGTCGACCGATGTCATCCATTCGATCGACCGGCCAGGACCTGATTCTCCAGCTTCCTTATTTCCTCTATTTTTCTGCTTTTGACCGTTTTCGCCGCCACCAATGGTTTCGCCCATGCTTCTATTCTCAAGCTACCATGAGAATCATCTATCCTAAAGCTCCCACGAGGATCACTAAGCTCCCGAAGCAAGGAAGAAGATACACATGTATCATTGAGTTCTGTTGTTCAATTATTTTTTTTTGGATTTATATGCTTGCTAATAAGATAAATTACAACAATGTGGAAGGTTGAATTATTATAGTTGTTAATAATTATAATTTTTTCATCTAAAATAAATTTAATTTGTAATTAATTATTGTTATAAGCGGATTTATATGCATGATAATAAGATAAATTCACAACAATCTGGAAGGTTGAATTATTATAGTTGTTAATAATTATAATTTGTTCATCTGAAATAAATTTAATTTGTAATTAATTATTGTTAATTGCTTTTAACTTGTAATTAATTTAATTGTTAATTTGTTACTGATTTAATTCGAGAAAAATAAATACTATTCTGAAAGAAAAATTAATTAATATTTACTGTTACTCTTAGAAAAGTAATCAAAAAAATTCTTAGAATTATTGCTTAAATTATAATTGCTAATTATTGTTTTAAAATTAAATTGTTCTGTTGCATTCATATATATATATATATATATAATATATATATATATATATATATATATATATATATATATAATATATATATAGTATTATATATATGATTATATTATATATATATATATAGTATATATATATATATATATATACATATATATAATATATACTATATAATAATATATGTATATACGGCATTTATATATACATATATTATATATATATATAGTATATATAATATATATAATATATTATATATATATATATATTATATATATATATAGAGAGAGAGAGAGAGAGAGAGAGAGTATGAGAGAGAGAGAGTAAGATTCCTATTGTGTGGTTGATGTGCCCAAACCTGTCTCAGGCCCACGTCATTTTTATTGAATATAAAATCATTTTCATATCATGGCAAGCGATCCCTAGGCAATATGAGTAGGCTAAAAGTTGTTGGTGAATAACGTTGTTTTGCTATCCAGCTTTAAGTTTGACAGACAGGTTTGTTATATTATATATATATATATAATAGTATATATAATATTAGTATATAGTAGATCCGCCCATTGAGCTGCTAAGGTGTAGTGACATGTGAGCCCAAAACCAATGT